AAACTTGGCGTGCCCGGGTCGTTTTAAAATGCAATATTCCACATGTTTTATAGTATATAAATTATTTGCTGATATACACAAACAGGAAACTAATAGTCAGACAAAGTATTGGGTTGCATGAAAACGCAATGTTCCACAGCCAATGATTTATAGTATATAAAAAATTTGTAATACAAATAAATATACATACATAAAAACATTATTACATACAATAGTTGCAGATAAACACACACATGAATGCAATAATTAGATAAAAAGCATATATATACAGGGTGTCTCAGAATAGGTGTATGACCGCTCATGGGTAGATAGAATGGACTAAACTGAATCGAAAAGTCCTCTACCATTTTGCAAAATTCGCAATATTTAATGAGATATTAATTTTTGAATATCGCCGAATGAGCAGTATCCGTTCGTCGAGTCCGGCCCACCGCCAATACTAGCGCGCGACCGTCCATGAGCCGCTCGAAGCACAGCCATTTTTTGCTGTAAACAATTCCCTGCTCGCCGCGTCTCGCGCTAGGCAACCGCGCTCGATGGACGGTCGCGCGCTAGTATTGGCGGTGGGCCGGACTCGCCGAACGGATACTCGCTCATTCGGCGATATTCAAAAATTAATATCTCGTTAAATATTGTGAATTTTGCAAAATGGTAGAGGACTTTTCGATTCAGTTTAGTCCATTCTATCTACCCATGAGCGGTCATACACTTATTAAGAGACACCCTGTATATATACATATACATTTTCATATAAATTTACATATTGTTTAATACAGAAATGTAATTAATGTGACCCGGGTACGCCAAGTTTTTTCTTCATTATAATCCAGTTTATCACTTTTCCATTTTTTAAATTTTTGAATGTTTTTTATAAATAAGCTTTTGTGAGGTCTTTTTTAAATAATGAGGCTAGTTTAATAACTTGGCTTTTTTTAATAACTTGGCTATAATTTTATTGATTTCACGACTATATTTTTGATCAATCAATTCTTAAATAATTGCATATTTAAATTATAAAAAAAATTGTTCTTAGTTTTAGAAAAAATGTAAGTGACATTTTTTATGTATTTGACGTATATTTTTTCTTTTTTTAAAAATATTTTTTATGGGATTATTATATTCCCCATACAGTAGGTATGTACAAAATATATTGAGAAATGTTTGTAAAAATATTTTAAAAAGGTTCTATTAATATTATAAAAGAATTTCATAATCTTTTGTGGTTACATTTTGAAATTAAAAATATTTTTAATAATGCTTTTTTTATAACATACTATTTTTTTAAATAGTTTAATATATATTTTGAAATATTATTTTACATTTATAAATTTTTAGTTTTATAATACCTACTTTTCCAAAATATTATTTTAAATGTAAGAATATTAGGTTCCGGGTGGATAAATTGAAAATAATAATTAATAAATGCCTTTTAGAACCAACGCAGTTAAGTATCGCAGCGTGATAACTATACAGTTATAAATTATGAAAAAGAAAAGGAGCTTTTCTTCTATCATTTTTTTCGTAATTTGTAATAAGTAAAGGAATTTAGATCAGATTAGAAATTACATGTTTATTTAATGTGACAATAATGCATGTATATTAATATTCAACATAATACATAATAGTAAATTCGCAAAAATAACCAACCTCAAAAATAATTACCTCAATAACTCCTTCATAATATAATTTGAATTCTTATTCATACGAGCCTGAATATATAGTTTTTATTAAATTTTATAATAAGTAAACATTATCACATTACAATACCGTTACAACTCCGTTGAGTCCAAAAAGTATTTAATTATTATTTTCAATTTATCATCTTGGAACCTAATATTTTTATTTTATAACAAACAAAAATTATTACACGATAATAACTGCGTTGACTTTCAAGGGACATTTAATTATTATTTTTAATATATTATTTTAATCATTTTTGACAGCAATATGCGGCACCGCTGATGGAGGCGACGCGCAGTTCTATTTCTCGTAAGTAAAAAGTCACAACGGATAGAATAAATGGTGCAGTATTATGAAATTTTTCACCATGAGATATTCTGATAAAATGATTCCTTCAATGCCTTCTTCCCTCTATAATATTTGGCTTGAAAAAGAATAAATGAGAGATACATTTTGACAGTACAGTTTTTAATTTTGTTAAACAAAAATTAATTCAAGAAATTTATAATTCCTGGAAATTATATGTAAAACATTTTATGTTTTATTATGACAATCCACAAAATTGCCTTTTTAAAAAAAATAAAAAAAAACGCCAAGTGTATGTACTCCTCTATGAAAATACTGTTATATCATTCAAATAATATGTATATACAAAAAAGTATATGTAATCTTTAAATTGTGCCAATTGCCATTTAAGAATTTTCTTATTCCAACCAAAGTAATATTGTATATTTAATGAGTTATAAAGAATGAAAGAGATAACAGTATATAACTAAAATATTTAATTAAAATAAAAAATGTATACTCTGTGCAAAAACTTGACGCTGCTAGATAGAATAAGGAAAGCAATACAAATATAATTTATAAGTAACAATGAATTTAATCTAACAATAAAGCAAAATAATATTAAGAAGAATATTATAATAAGATTAAAAGATTAATTTTTATGTTATTTAAATATTAAACCTATTTTCCTTACCGCTGTAAATTTTTCCTTTATTACTTTATCATGTTTTGAGATCTAGCAGCGCCAAGTTTTTTTAAACATAATAAAAATTTTTTATTTTAATTAAATGTCTTAACTATATACTGTTACCTCTTTTATTCTTTGTAATTAATTAAATATATAATATCACTTTGGTTGGAATAGGAAGATCTGTAAATGATCTTTAAATTGGCGCAATTTAAAGACTTCATACACTTTTTCGTATATACTAGACATAACAGCGCTACGCGCGCGCCATTAAGCTTTTGAAACTATTAACTTTTATTCTATTTTTTTATCAGTAATTTCAAATTTGAGAAATATAATTTCTTACAATTGAATTTCTTTGTTAATGTATTTAAATATTAAAAGAATATAATCCATCCTTTTTTCAAATTTTAAATATATTTATTAAATAAATTATGTATACTTTTATAGCTCCCCTCCAAGAAATAACGTAAATGTTCAATCCAACATAATACGCTAATTTGTCAATCATAGTTTATCCCTTTTTAATTGTTCTAACTGGTGTTCTTTTTCATTAATCCCTTTTCGTTAATTCTAAAAACAATTTTCTCTCGTTTTTTCTGTTTCAAAAAAATAATAGAAGACTATCATTTCCCAACCACCATCTGGTAGATAACACGCTGCGTTTTTTTATAGTGGTCTCAGCATTACATCCACCCGCGCATCCACCTACGCACGCACGCATCCACCCACGCATCAAACCACGCACGCACGCATATACCCATGTATGCACGCATCCACCCATGCACAGACTCACGCATTATCGATTTAACATGCATTTTTTCAGATAGGATACATACTACTTAAATGATATAACATATATACCTACTATTGTACTTGAATGGTATAACAGTATTTTCATAAAGAAGCACACATACACTTGGCGCCTCCTTTTATCTTTCTTAAAAAGATAATTTTGTCGAGATATTATATATTTTGTAGTGTCTTATAAACAATATTTTTTGCCATAACTAACATGCCTTTATTTATTTTATATACTTGGCGTAAATATTTTTTTTTAAAGAGTTTTTAAGTTGACAATTATTGCATAAACAAATCTCACAATCAGATATCGTCGTTAACTTGTTAAATATTGCGTTATAAGCAAATGGATAGCGTGAGAGACTTAGAACTTCTTCCGATCGACTTATTTAATGTTAAATAATAATTACCAAAGAGGTGGATCGATATCTTTACTCGATTGTTAAATAATGGATTTTAAACAATAGCAATTATTCAGTCCGATTTCTAAGACTTAATTAACAATTACTGCACTAATAAATCTCAGATATTGTTAATTTGTTAGATATCTCGTTATAAATAAATGGATAGCGTGAGAGACTTAGAACTTGTATGTACTGCTTGATTTATTAGCGTTAAATAACAATTATTAAACAGGATCATCTTCACTCGATTATTAAATAACGGACTTTAAACAAATGCAATAGTTCAATTCGATTTGTAATTAAAAGTCTTAATTAACAATTACTGCACAAACAGACCTCAGATATCATCGTTAATTTGTTAGAAAAGATCTGTAAATACGGCCTGTACACCATCGCATTTGTAAAATATTAGTTACCTATAAAATATATATTATATATTAAATACATACCTATAAAAAAAAAATGTCGCAACCGATATGTTCACGACTATACATACATATCCACCATATAGGACGCTACTCATTGTCAGTATCAGTACCGTATATTAGTGGCATTAGTGGCACTTCAATATCCAATTTTTCTTCCATCGCTATGATATAAAACCTTACATTGCAAATAACATTAAACTAAATTTTCGACGGAGTTTTGATAATAAATAATAAATAATACTTATAGGTAATCACAATCGACTAATTTGATGTTTTGACATAAACAAGCTATACGAGCCTGAACGAGCAGTGGAGAGGGCCGCCGTTCTCCAAGCGTTCTATGGGGGAGACATGCGCGAGATGGACGAATTCTTGTTAAAGTTGGATACGTTCTTGCTGTGAACAGTGTATAGAACTTAATCGGTTCAGCCGTTATTGATATTCGATAATCTTGGATGCTCACAAGTCGCCGGCTTGCGAAAAGAGACACAGGGCTGTTCCGCGCTCGTTCCTCGCTACGCGTTTACTTGGCACGAAACACTACCGTGTCTCTTAATTGATAAGTATTTATACTTGCTGGAAATGTTTTGGATTTATTTATACACGTTACAATATAATAACGATATAGTTTTAACATGTAACTTATTATATAACATATAAATAGCATAAATCACACATACTAATTTGTTTTTTAATTTATTTAATGATTACACATCACGTTCAGTAAAAATTAAATTCATGATAAAATAATGATTTTGTAAGATATAATGACGTAACAATCTGTGACAATCTGTGACATTAGTCACTCCTCGGTCCGTCATCAAAATGTCTTTTTGGCATAATGATGGAAATACAACGTCAAAACTGCTAAGGTTTTCCTGTTGAGATTTTTCTGAATAAATATTCTCAAAAAATATGTTATAAATATTACTGAATATTTAAATAAAATATTTTTAAAATATTTTTTTGATATGTTGTGGCGGATATGATAAAATATTCAAAATCTATTTTTATACATCACTTTAATATATGTATTTTAATCTTTTTAAAAAATATTGTTTAAATAAAATAAAAATATTTTGTGCTGTATGAGCTCTTAATGATGTAACAAATTTACAGCGCTTACAAAATATGCATTACGTCCATGGGATCTTCATTCACCTTTACTACCAATAGATTGCAGCAGGAAGAAGTAGGACATTGCAGCATTCACAAACTATCAATAAAAGCAAAAGGATTAGGTCAATGCATCAAAAGTATTATACGTAATTAGTAGTTGTAAAAATTATTAACTAATGTTGAGAGTTTGTACGTTCTACAAAAAATACAATTTATAATAGATAGGAATTTGAGAAAATCAACTTTATGAAAGTAAATTTCTAATTGACGTGTTTGAATAATAATTGAAATCTTCTAATTTTTCATAATTTCTTCTTGTCCTGTATAAATTTTATAGTATATAGATTTCTATTTAAAACATATTAAGTTTTCTTGCTGAAGAGTATTGAATTTTTGATCTTACTCTCTCAAGTTTTGAATTTCATATATCTTACGCGTTTTTATTCTCTTAAATCTTAAATCATTTTAATTTTTGCAAAAATAAAATAGATCTATTATTTTGAAACAATAAGTGTAAAGATTTGAAAGTAATTTACTCGAAAGTCATCTTTCGTAGAGATTTGCTCGGGCAATTTTGATTTAAAGCGATTCTAAACTGGAATCAAACTAAAAAATATCGATGTTTTACCGACAATTTGTGAGTATGTATGCGTGCAATATTGATGTAGTAGTGTGTAGTGATGTGTTCATGTTGACTACCATATCGATATCGCGCGCACACATCGTAACAAATTTACAACCATATATAAATCTTTTTTATTACGCATCCAAATCTAATTATCAATTCAATATCGTTTATTCAATTCAATACATGTAATTCGCAGCTCAGGCTGATATCGTTTTGTACCAACAAACAGCTGCCAAATTTGTTTAGGAAGCAAATATTGGTACACGTTGACAGCTCTCAAACTTTCGTTCTCAGCATATAAACTCTACCAGCTTGAGCTACATTGATGCCTACACTTTAATCGTGCAGAAGGATTTTCTAATCTGTTGTCTTTATATAATTATGTTTATTTTATGCTGGAAAATTATCACGTTCGGTCGATAAGACGTCTTTAGGATCGCCTTAAGGGGATCCTAAACCCGAGATCAAACTCCAAAAATTCGCTGTTTTATCGACGATTTATGAGTATGTATGCGTGCGATATTGATGTAGTAGTATGTAGTGATGTGTTCATATTTACTACCATATCGATATCTCACGCACACATCGTAACAAATTTTCACGAACGTACAGCTTTTTTATTAGGCATCCAAGCCTAATTTTATGAACCCAACATTGTTTGCACATGTAATTCGTAGTTCCGGCTGGTATCATTTTGTACCAACAAACTGCCAAATTGTTGTACGAAGCAAATATTGGCACATGTGACAGCTCTAGACGCCATGTTGGACAAAGAAAAGGTAACGGAGATCTAAATTTCATAAATTTTTTGCGTTCTCAGCATAATCTCTACCAGCGGGAACTACATTGATGTCTATACTTTAATCGTGAAGAAGGATTTTTTAATCTGTTGCCTTTAATTATGTTTATTATGTGTTGGAAAATAATCACGTTCGGTTGATAAAACAGACGACTTTAGGATCGCCTTAAATACTTACACTGGTAAATATGGTTATATCGACGGGGGCGTAAAATGCGTTTATAATCATCGGCTTTTGCATCAGTATCATAATAACGTTAGTCCTCATCTGACGGTCTAAACCTGATTTAAACCATTCACCAAAGTATACTCCTTTACGAAAGTCTTCGCTCTAAATATATAATATACACAGAACGATTAATTTTTAGCCATAAAGAATCGAATTCCATAAAATATTAAATCATTGAACTTACTGCACTTATGAGGACTGTACCGTACCAGGTGTATATAAACGTTTGAAGAAGTTTTACTAACGCGTATGTCAGAAACTCTGATATATGTTTAAAATTTATGTTTGGCAACTATTGCAAAGATATTTAGTAATTAATAATGTTATATTAGTAACTATTTGCGCAATGAGATACTATCGCAAACGGCATGAAAAACTTGTAAAAGATTGCAGTGCAGTCTTTTTTCTAACATTCATCATACCTTTCTTTATACTTTTTACAGAGTAGAATTTATAATATTTTATTTTGCTTTAATTATAATAGGCTCTATTGACTTTATGACATTTCATTAGCAGATATTCGATAAAGTTCTCGAGAATAAAGAATCATAATACTTTAAAATTTATTCTAGTGTTACCTAAGAATTAATTTAAATTTGTCTTGATATAATATGACCCCAAGTAGAATAAAAGTCATTAATTGTTGTAATATCAAAATAGTATTGAAATGGCTTCAAAATAATTATCAAAAATAAAAGGCAATAAGAATTCTCGTTTTTAAAATAAAAATAAAAAATTAAATGAGAGTGTAGCACAATTCTCGGTACGTTTAACATTCACAAAAATATGTTATATTATTAAACTAGTAAACTTTATATATTCGCCGACATTTCGGTTACATTTGTAGCCCTCTTTAGCATTAACGGAAAAAAAACAGAAAAAAATAGAGATAATTCCTTTGGTATAGATTGATTTGTTACTCATTGTCAATACATTTTCAAGTCATTCATTCTATTATAATTATGAACGGAAAGTCAAGTGATAGTTAATATATAATGGTCACGCTGCTTAGGAGATTACAACGATAAAAGACAAAATAATTTACAGATAAAATAATCGTAATTTGCAACCATACAAGCAATAAAATTATAACAAGGTCAAATGAATGTCAGAGATCGATAAAAAGCGTGCAATAAAGATGACTATACAAACGCAGTCGAACGTCTAACGAATATGAAAACTTTACTTGTTTAATAAGACGATGCTGGAAGGTCGGAATTACCGACACATTGCAGTCGCAAAAATAACTCCGAAATGATTGAACGGAATTGAAAATGCTTTTACATGATCGAAAGAGACATCAAATGTAAGGGCGCAAGCTAATACGAATTTGTAGTAACGACGTAAAAATTTTGTAGCAACGAAAAAAAATTAAAAAATAACTTTTTCGAGTCGCACAGCTATCACCTGATGTAAACATTTCGTTGGAATAAAGTTCTGTAGGTTACATGTTGAAAATGAGTAGCTCACGCCCATCAGATTACATATAATAAACGAATATAATACAAGGCCTTTTGCTACGATTAAAAACGTAGAAAAAAAATATCAATACGATTGCAATTTATAATAATTCGTATGCTTAGCCAAGATACAAAATGGTAAAAAAAACAGCAAAAATTGCGTCTAGTAGTAAGTGCCGGATTTTGCAAGAGATAGCGTTTCAATAAGTTAGATTAAGGATTAAGGACAATGTACGTGTTTGAGTGAGACGTACAGAAATATTGTAAGAAATTCATTTGGAAATACCACTGAAATTGAACAGATTGTTTTATCAATCTCGCGCAAATTTTTCCGACTTTCCAGCATCGCCTTACAATATCAATTTTTGCATTAATTAATATACCCACGTACTGATGCAAACTCATATAACGACGAACAAAGCATCACGGCATTGGTGCAAATATGCCAAAAAACGATAGGTCCAAAAATGTGCTCCAGCGTGTTGCGGCATTGCAATAATTTTTGATGCTTTGCCAAGCATGTCCTTAGCAGATCCGAGAAGTTCTCAGAGTGTGGAGAATTCATGAGCTTGGAAGTCATGGCGCGCATTGTCGAGTTGAACTGATAGACATAAAAGCCAAAGACGTTTTCAACGCTGACTGCCGTCAAGCTACTGAATGTTACTAAGCTCGTCTCAAAGAATAGATGAAAATGATACAAAAAGTTGTCGGGAACCGTCCAGAAGTATCCGTAATCCCTGGTGAGTGGCAGCGTGTAATTTGTGGTTAAACGGAAGTGACAGAGGTTGTAGATTATGAAGATATAGGCAGGCGCAAAATATGACAAGATTAATAATATCATAATTGCAAAATATCCATACGCCAGAATATATATTGTGGATAGGGGCGAAAACATTATCACCCGGATTTTCTGATCGTTTTGCATAAGCTCCTCTTCGAAGAGATTGTTCAGCATTCGATGATAATTTATCAGAGATCGACGATTGATCAGGAACGTTCCTA